GTGGGCGATGATGAGGAGTGGTGGTAAGTGTGGTAGGGGTGGGTGATAGTGGCTGGTGGCGGTGATGGATGATAATGAGTGGTAGTGGGTGACGATGGGCAACAATAGTGGTGGTGGGTGCTGATGGTGAGTGACAATGGTAGTGAGATGATGGTGATAATGGTAATAAATATAAGAATAAAATGATAATGGTGGTGGGCGATGGTGATGAACGACGATGGTAGCAATTGACAGTGACAGTGGTGGAGGTGATGGTGGTGGGTTGACGATGGTGGTGGTAGTTGTGATGGTCGTGGGGATTGGTAAGGGTTATGATGGGTGTGTGACAACAGTGGCGATGATGGTAGGGTGTGGCAGCGGTAGTGGGGCGATGGAAGTGGTGGGGCGATAGTAGTAATGGTGATGGTGGTGGTAGGGGCGGTGATAGTGGTAATGATGGTGGTGGTAGTGGTGGAGCGGTGGGTATGATAAGGTGGCGATAGTAGTAGTGGTGACGACAATGGTGGTGGGACGATGGTGGTAGGGGTAGTAATGGTGGTGGTGACGCAGTTTCAAACACTATTTTTTTTTTCAAATAATTATGAGAAATAATTATTAAAAACATTTTTAAAAAGTCACTACGGGTCTATTTTTTCTATTAAATTTGGGGTGTTTATATTAGTTGTCAGATTAACTTTAAAATAAAATTTATAAAGATGTCAACCGCGAATAATAAAAGTCATTTTGTTTATCTTTTGAGATTTGAATTATATTGTATTTTATTATATAAATTTTTTTATTGAATAATTACAGCACTTTAATATTATTGCATGGTGTAAATGTTACACCCAATATTTACTCAAAAAACCAGGACGTTGATGGTGAATTGGGTATGGGCCGTCAAAGTGCATAGTTCTTAGTTGTGATTGTTATGCCATTGGATTATTATAGTTGGGCTGCACGGCCCATAAGTATATGGCAAATTAATTTGGCCCAGACATGGGCCTATTTAAGATACCACTTGTGGATTAATGGCCTTTATCCAAACTGTTAGCATGTTTATAACCGTTAAATGGATTGAATTTCGATACGAATTTGCATACTTTTGACTAACAATTTTAATATATTATTTCATTTTCAATGTGATTGTGATTTGAAGTGATTATTTGATACCATAGAGTTGAATTTAGATATAATTTGCTAAATTTGAACTCAATTATGTCATAAATTCAGATCAAATTATCAATTGGGGATTTTATTAAATTCCAGATTCAGATAAAACAACTTCCAACTCAAATTGAATCCATTAACAAATGTAACATGCTCACTGCAATTTTTTTTTTTTTTTAGTTCAATGGTAAGAGATATTTTGGGTCAGTTTATGTGCACCTCAGCTAATTTCTTTTTCGATTTGATCAAATGCAGATTATCTACGCCGAAATTAAGATATTTATGAGAAATAAAATTCTTCATAGCCTACTCCCAAGAAGTTGGAAAGATTCAAATTCAAGACATCTAAATTTACGGCTGATTCCTATTATTATTTAAACTATCTTTGAATTTTGTTGGTTGGCTTTTGTCTTTCAATGTGTTTTTAAATGGGTTACATAATCAAAATCTGATATGTGGAAAAGGAGAACACTACAGTGCCAAAGTGGTAATGTACCATTTTTTTGTGGACCATAATCTCGTATTGATTTATTCGTGATCATTAATCTTAAAAATTTATATAATAAAAGATAATATAACTCAAATATTAAAAGATAAATAAAATAATTTTTATTATTCACGATTAAAATTATTTTAAATTTTACTTTAAAATTAATTTAACGGCTAATATTAATAGGAAAAATAGGCTTCTAAGAACCGTTTCACCACTACCACCCCCATTGCACCACCACCACCAGTTCTATCGTCCCATCACCATTTTCGTTGCACCCTACCATCATCACCACCGTGTCGCACCTTACCACCACCGTTACAGTCCCACCATTACCCCTATCACCCTCATTGCCCCACTACCATTCCCGTGACCATCATAACTACAGCCTCCATCGCCAACCCACCACCACCATTGTCACTACCTCACCCTACCCCACCCTCACTATCCCATCGTTATCGCCACCTACCACTGATTGTTACCATCGTCGTCCATGACCACCACCCACTACCATCGTCATCTTATTTTTATATTTATTACTATTACTTTTATCTTCCACTATCATCGTCGCCCACCGTCAACACCCACCACCACCCATCGTCACCTACCATTGCTACCATCCACTGTCACCTACCCCACCACACCTACTACCACTACCTATCATCGACCACTACTGTAACCACTCATTGTCACCTACTCCCACTACACTTACCATCGCCACCATTCATTACCATCCATCACACTGTCGCCTAAAAACACCCATCATCGCCCATCACTACCATCATCACCGCCCACCGCCATCGTCGTCGTCCTACCACCACTACTGTCAACCATTATCACCGTTGTCCACCACCCACACCCACACCCATCACCACCACCGCCACCACCACCCACGACTTCTACCACTATGATGGTCGTCGCATTACCCACCATAATCATCTCCCTCTCCTACCATCACTATTGTTGCCCAGCACTACTACCACCGCTCACTCTCCACTACAATAGGTGTTTAAATTTTATTTATCTCTTATCTATATTTGTAATTTAATTTCGAATGTGAAAACAAATATGTTTACTATTTTTTTTTATTACTCCGTACCTTCACGCACCGAGAATAACTAGTAATAAAATATAAGTAATAGAATATAAAAAACTTTACAATATCATGTTCTAATTGATAAAAAATCAAAAAAATGGTATCAAAAAATAACTTTTAATAGACACATCAAAAATATTCAAAAAAAAGTAATTTGTTTGATCTCCTTTGATTTATCTTGATGGCATAAAAAGACCCCCATACTTTTTTGTCTTGTCGTGACTGGGGAAGAAAGGGCTTAAATTTTAGGAAAAATCTATGGTATTGAAAAGAAACAAAAAGGTTTAGTATCTAGTACCGGTTATAATTTTTTTAAAAAAATTGTAATTATTTAAGAAAAAATCATCACCGATTTCAAATATTTATGATCGATCATAAACTTTCAGTATTGATCATAACCCTTTATAATTGATCATATCATTTAAAAGTTATAATTTAAATCTCAAAAAAATTATAAATTATCTTTAAAAAATTATAATTTTTTGAGAGCAATGATATTGAAACATAATTTATGGACATAATTAAGAGACATAATGAATTATTACCAATGATATGATAATGAATTCATTTAATACTACAATAGAACCCATCATTAAATACATATCAGTATCATTTTATTGGTGACAATTCATTATGTCCTAATAGCATTAGTGAATTTGAGTAATGTTAGATAGATTTAAAAAATAGACTTGATAGTTTCAACTATTGAATAGGCAGTGAGTCCCAATAAAATAAATAATTGAGATTATCAAGTCTAATTTTTAAATTGACGTAACATTGATCGATCGTGAAGAAACAAATCACCTTTAGATAAGTGGGCCATATTCGGCATTCATTTGATAATGAAACTGACAGAAAGAGAATTTATATTTTTGCCCATTGATTGCTTTTCGTTACAGAAAAACATAGCGTAGAGTGACCGCTTTTAATGCCATGATGAAAAGAGAGAGTTTCAAGTTTCAATCCCCACCAACCACACTACTCTCTACCCAAACTCTATATAACCCATTCTCTTGCCAGTACCAAAAGGTCTTGATCTATCTGCATTGTAACATTCTCAGATCCAAAGTTTCAGAGAGATGTGCTGTGGGAGTAAGATTTGTATGTTATGCACATGCGTGATCCTGGTGGTGATTGCGATCGGGCTGTTGTTTGGATTTGGGATCTTCAAGAATGGGTTTCACAAATTGAAGAACACATTGCATGATTGCGAGCCATCGAGTGTTCATGGAGCCTCCCATTGTTATTCTGGACGGCCTTTCTTGGGTTTTCCAGCCCCTCCCCCTTTCTAGGATTGATTTTCTCTCTCTTTTTCTATTAAAATCTTCTTATTCCTGAAACTGAGTTTTTACGACATACCTGCCTTCCGAATTCATTATGATTTGTTTTGATTCGTATGTGCAAATTTTTTTTTTTTGTTTCAATTGTGGTGTAGAATTTAATGGGTTTTAATTGGTGTGATGATCGATTTTTTTGTGTGGGTATTTTGATTGTTTTACGGTGAATGCTTTGTTGTGGTTGGAAGTTTTCAACATACTAATTTTTAGAATTAAGTGACGAAAGATAAATCTTTCACAAATACTCTAGTTCTAACATAATAATAATGAAATTGTAAAAATAATATTTTTTTTTGGGATGGGCAAATTACATGTAATCAATCATAAGTTTTTTGATATGCAATATTATTTTTAAGTAATTTTTATATCTCGAGGATTATTCACACTAAAATTAAAATATTTATAAAAAATAAAATTTTAATACAAATCTTCCAAGTGGGTCTCCTAAATGAATGATATGATAATTCACATGTCTGCATCATAATGCGCAAATGCACGCATCTAAAGCTTGGCCTTTGTGAATTGCAGCAGTGGGCCATATTTTACAGATGTAAACAAGTGGAATTATTAAACCTATGGGCCTACCAGAGTCGATTATTTTTTCGAACTCGAATAACTCTGAATGACTTTACAACATGTCTCGTGAGGATCAAAAGTGGCCGGGCATTAGGAGATACGAAAAACGTTAAATTTGATATCTCTAAATTTTCAAGAATAAATATTTAATTCAAAAGTGATACTACGTAACCATTGATAACTTAATATAACTAACTAATAATAAAATTATAAATGGATAAGATAAACCTCACTTGAGCTTACATAAAAAAAGAGCGGGAAGTTATGTACTTAGGTGTCGGGTTAGTTATTAATTTTTATAAGATTTATTTATTTATTTTAATATTATTAATTAATTATACTACATCAACTTGCCATATCACGTGTAATGAATATTTTCTCCCCTTCCAGACCCAGGTAAAAGTGAGAAGGCCCCCCCAATTGTAATTCGTATCTAAAATTAAACCTCAGTCAACAAAATCCTAAAGAAAACTTTGGCAGTACGAAACAGAGAACAAAAGCAACGACGACATTATTGAGAAAGCCAGAATTGAATCCAATCGGAGAAGATGAGAATCACTGTCATGACCCCCGATGAACAGATCATCAACATAGATATCGACCGCGACGAATCTGTAAACCCTTCTCATCCTCTTACCTTAACCCTGTTAACTTTTGTTTTTGACTGTAATAATGGTGTAATGTCTAATTTCATCTCAATCTCAGGTTGAGAACTTGAAAGCTCTGCTCGAGGTCGAGGTCTGAGATCCAGATACTTACTCTTCTCTCTCTCTCTCTCTCTCTCTCTCTATGTTTCCATGATTAATTCAACTTATGGTTTCTGGGTTAATGTATGAGCAGACACAAGTGGAGCTGCAGAAACAGCAGCTGTTGTATAATGGGAAGGAGATGAGGAATACTGAGAGACTGAGTGCTCTTGGTGTTAACGAAGGAGATTTGGTGATGATGGTTTCACTTTCTTCTTCTAGGTCTGTCAATTTATCATAATTCTGAGACCAATTTATTATGTCCATCTACATTCTTCCGTATTCAATCTGGTTTAACTCTCCTTGAACCCCATTGTCTCCACACAAAACAAAAAACCCAAAACAGCATTATGTTAATGGCGTAACTATGAAATATTGCAGTGGTTCTATCAATGAGTTGAGCTTCAATCCCGATGGATCGGCAGTGAACCCTGCAGCCTTCCAGCAGCACGTCCGAAATGATTCTAATTTGATGGCGCAACTGTTTCAGGTAGGATTTGTATAATCTTCTTCTGAAGCAATTCTCTACGTTTGCGCTGGAAAACATTAGTCAAAATATGTTGAAATTAAACAGGCATCTTCTTATTTAAAATTTTGTTGGTCAAGTAATATAATCTGCACAAATTTTAATTTATCACAAAAGGAAAATCTGCACAAGTGTTTATCCTGAATTGCACAAGGGGCTAAAATTAAAATTTGTTAAAAACTACACCAGAATCTGATCAGGGGAGTGAGAGAATGTCAATGTCCAAAGTTATAATAATTGTTTTGATCACGCTGTTAAAATTTTCTAAAGTTTAGGTTCACATCTTTTCTGCCCACAGTACAGCTTGGTGTCTACCTATATGTTTTCACATTGTTGTTGCTTAATGTGTTGCTGCGTTGGTCTTTGTCATACATAAGTATTCTGTTTCTGGAGTGTCACCGTAAGGTCTATGATAATGATTCTGTAATAATGATACTGCCGGTTGGTTGTGAATCTACAAAAAGCATTATGGTGAAGAATTGAAAAACGGTGTCTCAAGCAATTTGTTGACTGGGGATGTTATGTCTAGGGCAAATTGTGTGTGATGTTGCAGCAAACATTGCACCAATTTGTTGTTTTGCTTGAATGGCTGCTTAATTACCCTATCCACAGTTGTCATCGAGTTAGTGCTAATGACAACTTTTGTCAATCATTGTTGAGTTGTTCTATGGTCATCTATACCTATGACAACTTTCTTAAATTTGCCAAGGCGTTGGAAACATATTGATATGTACATGGTTTTGCTTGATATTTAGTAATGATAATGGCTATTTTGAGACATTTTATTTGAATTTAGTGCTGTCTTATGGCAATTGGCATGTCATCTTGTTTTTGTCTGATTTATTCTTCTACTCTTAGGGAATTTTTCTGACACGCGAAATGTTGTTTGATCTTACAGAGTGATCCTGAATTAGCACAAGTTGTTCTCGGAAATGATCTCAATAAGTTGCAAGCCATTTTACGGGAGCGTCATCGCCAGAAATCTGAATTACGGCGGCAACAAGAAGAGGAGCTAGTAAGTATAAGTAACTTGTCTCATCCTTGAATTTCTCTATCTTTCATGGAATTTATTGGTATTTATTTTTTTGTGTTTTTTTGATAGAAAATGAACGATTCTATTAATAATAGAAAAGATATTGGTATTTATTTTACCAGTTGCAAATAGCAACATTTACTGTCATTTCGATGCAGTGTGCAAAATACCTTGAGAATATGAAAAATAAGTCATTGTCTCAGGAGATGCTAACCTTATGGGCCAAGGGTTAGTGGGAGCAGGTGTTGGTGCATACTTTGACTGCTATTCACGATCAATTAAGCCTTCATGCAGTGCATTTTTTTAATATCAACTGAAACTGGTGGAGTACAATATATCTTTATGTTAGTTGTTCATATTCATCTATATATATCATATTTTTGTAATATTGTTGGATATTATAAAGTGTTTTGTCCTCTCTATCCACAAAATTGAATTGTGTTCTTTTAGGTTGGTCATTGGTGTCTTCAGATGCAGTTTTTCTGATGTTAACCATGTGTCTTTTATGGAGGTTATGCTATGAGTTTGGTATCTTCACATGTAGGTGAGTTCTAAGAAAAAGTGGACTTAATAATTAAGCTGACAATAACTGTGGCATCATTCATGCCTGTTCTTTTGTGTATGCCTTTTGCACTCATCTTTCAAATGACACTGTAGTTGAATAACTTACTATTGAGAATTCAGTGTTTGCAATGAATGAATAATGTAAAATTGAGATACCATGCATAGTTAGTTTGTCAATTCTTATGGAATAATTGTACTGAGGTCAAATGAGATGGCGCTATCTACCACTATGTTAGACCTGTTAATTCGCTGATTACGTCACCTATATTTGATTCTTTTAGACTGCCCACATTATAAGTAGCTTATTTGATTGCGTATTTGCTCTTTTTCTACTTAGGCACTCCTTTATGCTGATCCATTTGATGTGGAAGCACAGAAGAAGATTGAAGCTGCAATCCGCCAGGTTAGTGATTTCCTTCCCTCTGCTCATTCTGTCTCATATCCTGGAATTTTTCAAAGAGAGTTAGCTGGTGATATTTTGAGAAGATGGCTTTCTCAATACTCATCTATCTATCTGCACGATTTCCACTCCAGACAACTAGGTAGGTCGTTAGAGCTATTGGAAATGTGGTTACCTTGGATCTGCAAATATAATACCTTGTAATTGACACTGCTAGTGGCCTAGTACTCCTGTGCTTCGGGTATGCTGATGCTGCAAGATATGAGGGCTTGTCCATGGTCATCAATCCCTCCGTTCGAAAACATTTCAATTGTCTCTGCTTAGTAATAATGAGAAAATGACTTTTGTTGTTGTTGTTGTGGAGTGGTCCCTAATCTCTCCTTGAATTGAAGTTTTTACGAATGATTGTTCGGTTCAAATATAATTTTTGTCTAGTCAAACATACAAATACAATAGATGGTACCCAAAGTATGTGACAAACCTTTGGTATATTATGAGAATGAGCAATCTTTCTCCTTCCTACTTTTTTGGAACTGCATATTTTATTCTGTGGATTGAGGGTACTTCACTTTAGTATGTGTCAAAGATGGACATTGATATTAACTTTCTTATGAAATTCTTTGTTGAATTGCTCACTGATTATCTGTCCTTGTGAGGTCTGGCTTTATAACTTTCTATTGCATGCGCCCGCTCTTGCGCGTGTGTGTGTGTGTGTTGTGTTTGTGACTTGTTGCTACACTGGATTGCAGAAAGGTATTGATGAGAATTGGGCAGCTGCACTAGAGCACAACCCTGAAGCTTTTGCAAGGGTGGTATGTATAATTGTCTGCTGCCTACAAAAAACCTAGTTACTTATTTACTTATTAGTCATCGAGGACTGGATTAAGTATTCTAATTTAATTTTTCAGGTCATGTTGTATGTTGATATGGAAGTCAATGGTGTCCCTTTGAAGGTAAGGACAAGGGAAATAGCATTACATGCCTGTTATTTTTCTTTCATTGGTTGCTTAGAATTTTTTCTCACACTTTCTCTTTTAGGACCCCCTATCTTTTTTTTTCTTGGGGTTGGGGGTTGGGGTTGGGGTTGGGAGATAAGGTTGGAACCTGTGTGCGTGAGCGAGCCCTTACCACTACCTCACTCCCTCACCTCTGGGACCTGTAGAAAGAAAAAAACCAAATCAGACTTTACTTTCATGTTATCGGAGCCCATTACACTTTATCAACCTATGGTTGGAAAGCATACACTCCCCCTCCCCCTCCCTCCCGCACACAAGGTGGGAAAAAAAATACCTTTCATCTTAAAATTTTGCAGGGCTTTTTTCTCCATGATTTTTGTTTTCATTGCTAGAAAATATACCTGTATGTAAGGAAACAAAAGAGAGAGTTGTGTTTATTCTAGGGAGAGGAAAAAAGAGGAGAAAACAATGAGTGTAAGGGCATAAAAGACATTGGACACACTATCTTGTCCAAAAAGTCTACTTCTGATCATTTACTCTCAATTTTAACAAAAAATTTATTGTGTGAATTTGCAAACCACAAGGAGGTAAAAGTGTTAATGACTCAAAACATGTGGAGGTAAGGTGTAATTTGGCCAACCTCCAGGGAAAAAAAATAGAAATCAAAGAAAAGGGTTCAGCAAATTGCTTTCTATGTTTGTTTTGTTTGACATATGCACTTGGATTACAAAAGACATTCTGCTTTGCTTGGTTTCAGGCATTTGTCGATAGTGGAGCTCAGTCAACAATAATATCTAAAAGCTGTGCTGAGCGTTGTGGGTATGAGTTACTCTACATCTAAACAACTATTATTTGCTCCCTACTGGCAATGGTGGTTGTTTTCCGTAAATAGAATAGCTAGTGATGTAACCTTATTAAATTACTAAAGCGGGCAATTGGCATGAGCATAGAATGTGCAACTACCTAGTGATAGGAATCGGATTATATTTTGTTATAGTAGGTGCAGACGTAGGGATTAGAAGTTATTTGTCATTTTATTTTTCAGGGATTTAGTTGTCATTTTGATTATTTATTTATTTTAGGGTTTGTGATCTCCTTATATATATAGGATTTGTGAACTCCTTATATATATAGGGGATATGGTATTTGTTTTGGGAGACTTTGATTATTGATTATTGATTATTGATATTGAATCCTGATATTGCTTCTTTCTCAAATTCTCTCTCTATTCTCATTCCTTTCTTCTTCTCTTTTCATCCCTATTCCTCCCTAGTAGTACGATCTACATCAATTTGGTATCAGAGTTATTACGATCCACATCAATTTGATATCAGAGATAATACGATCTATATCAAATTGGTATCAGAGCTATTATGATCTACATCACCTAGTGTACAATAGATTGTGTATACATGCATACCAGCATATGCTCCAGCTCTTCTATCCGTCTAAATGATGGACAGGAATTACAAAAAGGGACTTAAGATTAAGAAAAAATAACAATTGGGGTGCATCTGAATTATTGAACGTTACCCATCTACATTGTCAATACACCTCTACAAAAAGTTGTTGCGCCACCAACGTGAATCCCCACGTCCGCTCTTTTCTGCCAGCAATTAATGCATTATTCTGAGGAGTACTACGTGAGTACAAAAGTACAATGATAGCGGTAACTGGTATTAGTCTTCATCATCCTCTTTTTGATCTGAACTGTAGTAAATATTCAATCTAAGGTGATGGATGGTTTCTTGTTGTTGATGTGTCCTGTTTCAGATTATTGAGACTTTTAGATCAGCGTTATAAGGGCATTGCTCATGGAGTCGGTCAATCAGAGATATTAGGCCGGATACATGTTGCTCCGATCAAGGTAACACAGATATTAGCATTAGAATAAAAGTCACATTCTCATTTTTTACGGCAGTGGACAATAACACCTTTTTATATGTGTGCTTGTGGGAGTGTCCTTGTGTGCGCATGCATGCATGTGTGTTTGATGCACACAGATTTGGTTACATACCTGGGGAATGCAATGTGTGTATTCATTTTTTCTTCTGTTTATTTTGGTTTTCTTGGTCAGTGTAAGTTTGAGGGTGGATGTAAGATCATGTTTGACACTTACTAATATAGGCTTACGATTAGCATATTTTTGTACTGTGTTGAATGACAACAGCTTTTCTTTTCCCCCCTCTCCCCTCATTTATGCTTTCACATTTGACAGTTAATGTTTTTCCTTTTGCTTTAGTACTCAATGCTCATTATATGTGTATCATTAGTGTATAACATCCCTATGAGATACTGTCATTTCTCTAGAAGAAAGTCATTTGACATTTTAAATAAAGTGCTTATTTGTTTTTTAACCATTGGCATTGTCATTCATAACCAAAAACCATTGTAGATTGGAAATCAGTTTTACCCTTGTTCCTTCTTGGTGCTGGATTCTCCCAATATGGAATTCCTGTTTGGTCTGGATATGCTGCGCAAGCACCAGGTAATTTCTTTCTCTTTCAAGTTGAGTTGATGATCATTATTGATACACATGACATTATAAATCACAGATGTCTATCTTGGTCATTGTCTGCAGTGCATAATTGATTTGAAGGAGAATGTTTTGAGAGTTGCTGGAGGAGAGGTGTCAGCACCATTTTTGCCAGGTGATCTGTTTTCCTATTTGCTTTTTTATCTGTGTGTTATTATTCATTTTTTCACTATTAAATATATGTTAGCATCCTTGGATTCTTTATGACTCAAGTGGGAGATTATTGATCTCTTGTGAGTAACCATCTTTTGGAATTGCAGAAAAAGACATTCCATCTCATTTTATGGATGAGGAGAGGTTATCCAAGGAAGCTTCAAGCTCAGGAGCCCAAGTAAGAATTGATGATATTTTGGTTCTAACAACCTGATGTTTTTTGATGTCTGGCACCTGATAGATAAGTGCTGTGCACTTGTTCTGCTTCTTGACATTTCTCCTGCATATTAAATGTTGAAGGAGTGGTATATGAAATCACTAAGCTGAAGAGCTTGATGAGCACTGGGATGTCTGAAAAATGTATTTCGTGAAGAACAGGGTCATCCCACCAATGATAATGACAAAATTAAATAGTTGCTATCCTTTTTGATACATGATGTTACAGTTAGGTTCCTTGGTTCTTAAAACCTTTTTTTAAGGTTTAGGCTCTCACTTTGTATGCGTTTCATAATCATCTGGCTCCAGTCACCTGCTTGACGTCTCTCTCTCTTTTGCATATTTCTTGTAGTTACAGATGATTTTCCCATGAGTAGTGCTTGCTGCCTTGAAGCCAAGTTTTGTGAATTGATATATTATTAACTTCTGATTTCTGAGTCTTTCCCAGTTATTAAATTTTTTATTTATTTGTGATGTGAGATATTTGTGCATTTCCTAATTTTTGCTACATTCTTATTTGCAATGAGTTTTTTGCATGAGACTTTATGGTCGCACCACACGTAATTTTTTTTTCTTGTCCTTAATTTTTTAGGCTACATCTGGAGCAAAAGAGAACAGTAATATACTCTCTGGGGATCACTCTTCTGGTGAGTTTCGGAATTCTCATTTCATAACCTGCTAATTTGCATTTGCTTGGTTTGGGCAAAATTTTGTATGGGCATGATATATGTAATGGTTAAAATGTTAAAAGAGTGTATTCAGAGAGAGCAGAATGAGCCTGCAGTAAAACAAAGGATTCAGTAAGTGCAGAACCAGTCTGCAGATTACCTGCTGATTGTCAAGAATATCTCAAGCTGATCTGTCCACTTTGAATTTTTCAAACATAGAAAGTATACGTTATCATAAACAGACTCCTCCTGTTACTCCTAAACAGATTCCTTCTGCTACTCCTTTGCTTGCTCAGTTAGTTTAGTTGTATAGCTATAAATACGAAGCAATACACAAGGTTTTGGTAATTAAGCCAAACCATTCAAACAAGATCTCTGTTTCCAACCCCTGCCCCCAATTTTTTTTGTTAAATACAGATTTCTTTAATCGGATGTTGTGAAAGGTCAAGCCCATAATAGTCAAGGCCTCCAAATTCCATAATATAGTAATTCTGGTGGAGTTATTACTCATCAATCTTCCAAAATGATATTTTTTATAGAAGTAAGAATGTAACCTTTACCTTCTATTGCTCTTCAAATTCTCTCTGGTTTCTCTGAATGAACTAAACTAACGCGTCATTTTTTGGCCTGCAGGAACTGGCCGTGGTGGCTTGGCACAGGTAATCTACAACTGTAAATTACATAGTTTCCTTGCTTGCACTTCAGTAGGAGTTAGATTTTTTTTCTTCTTGTTTATAACATTTGCTGCATATATTTCGTTGGTCTAGTCATGTTTTTTTTAAGAACTCTCATTGTCTACAGTCTATATTCATCTGCTGAGGCAGTTGTTTGGTGGTTCACTGACTAATGAGCCAACTTAATATACATTCAGAAGTGAGATGTTGAATTTAATTGGTATTATGATCCATTAGCAACACCATCTTTAAATGAAAACTGTTCGTTCGCAGAATCGTGATTTTGAAGCCAAAGTCACAAAGCTTGTTGAGCTAGGGTTTGGAAGAGAAGCTGTTATACAAGCTCTAAAATTTTTTGAAGGTAATGAAGAACAGGCAGCTGGGTATCTTTTTGGGGGCTGAAGATGTATTTAATTTCGTAAAAACTACCATAGATTGTGAATTTGACATTTTTTTTCAACTTAATTTGTGTACCACATTACATTCATTTGGTTGACCAATGCCAGCACAAGGACTGTACACTTTACCTGGGATATAATTAGCTTGAAGATATTGGACACGTGTTTTGAGTGTTTCTCTCTCTATCAAAAAGTTTATTTATTTTCTGTTAGATCCGTTTATTTAGTAGGATAGTGGTAGAAAATATAAAAAAGAATTTTTTTAAAAAAATTGTGTGTTTTGCTAGCATGATTCTATGTTTAGATTTTTTTACAACTAACTAACTTTTTTTCCTTGTATTTTTTACAATATTTTTAGTTGATATTAATTTTAGAAAAGTTTGGTATGAATTTGGTTAACTTTATAATTTGGCCTAAAGATCGTCATGTTGATGCTTGTTTCAAAATTAGATTAAGAGTCATTTCTTAAAAAAATTTAACTTTTAATTATAATATATATATTTTTTCTTTAGATTGATTTAATATAATTAAGGATAATTAGAAAAAAATTTAGTGAATTTTTTTTAAAACTTTTTCGTAAGATTTTTATGTTGACCAAATGTCTATATTAAAATATATTTTATTTTATTTCACTTCATTTTTTATTATTTACTCGTAATTCAATCTGAAGGATTTTATTTATTTATTTGGTTGGACAAGGATTACGATCCTATCTATTACATTTTTTTTCAATTTTATTCGATGATAGATCATCTATCATGTATAAATGAATGACTTACAAGTAAATGGTGGGTGCATGATTATTAATGATTCATGATATACCATTGAATAAAATTGAGTAAAAGTTTGAACTATTACATTTATTTTATTTTTTACTCTTAATTATAAATTTTTTTATATTGCACCTTAAAGTATTAATTTCGTTTCATATCAATCCAATAGATAACGACTGTTAATTTTTAACGATAAATACACATGTGAATGGTATGTACCGTCAATAAGCAACGGTCTATTGCACATATGCAAGTCAAAAATCAAGAAAAATATACATCAATGATTTTGCCCTTCATAAACTTTAAGCTCTAAATTTTCTTTCTTTGGTATACCTTCTTTTTTTTCTCAGCAACCATTTTGGTTTCAAAAAAGGTAAAATAAAGTGGTTCTCGGCTATTGCTGAGAAGTTTTTTGGGGTTTTCCTTCCTCATTTGACAGATTTTCAAGTTTGCTGTTATCTATTAGAGTGTTATGAAATAAAATTGATATTTTAGAATCTAATATGAAAAATTTTATAGTTGAGAGTATAAAATAAAATAAGAGATAATAATTCAGAGGGGTAAAGTGTAATTTACTCAAAGTATAATAAGAAGTGCATGGAAATGATAACCCATCGGTTAGTGCGGACGGCAAGGATACGAGTAAATAAGAATCGGACGGTTTGGAGGCAATCTAGGGTTTTGACCTACCACTACCACTGTACCTTCCTATATATATAGGATAAACAAGAGACGAAGCGAAGCAGAGCAGAGACGCCATGGGAGAAAATGGAAAGAGAGTTTTAGGGTTGTCGGAAGCTCGTGGGATGGGTGAGACGGAAAGGTGATTTCATTGTTGTAACTGAAAAGTGAACTTTGATTCAAACTTTCCGACTCCACCCATACCGCTGGTTTCCGATCACTCCTCTCTTTCCTTCCTTCCTTCTTCTTCTTCTCCGGTATTACTTCGTATAGGTTGATGTGATATTTTTTCTGTGATTTGGTTTTAGTTTGTTGATGTGTTGTTGTTGTTTTAGTTTTTAACCGTATGAATGAAATGAAAAAGGAAATTGTTGCTTTTGGATCATTCTGAAAGATTTGCTGGGTCGTGGAGATATAGAAATTAATCTGCCATGTGTTAATGGAGTTCTAATACAACATGCTTGAAATCTGAAGTTCTCTTTACCTCTAAAGCTCTGAAAACAAAGATAAAAAAGTAGGGGATTTTAATACCATCCAGTATCGGTACAAGTCTCTACACCTGTAACACATAAAAATTAATGAAGTCGAATGATTTGATAAGATTTTGATAGCAAGCCGTCTAAAACTGTTTTCTTTTTTTTTTTTTGGGTATGAGTTTAGAATCCGCAACCTTAACTAACACCAGACTGAACATAAAGACTAACATTTACGAGTGTTAATAGTAACAATGATTGTATCTTATCCTGATTTCTTCTAGATTGATTGGAAGAAACTCTTAGATTTATACTAATCCAATGAATTCCCATGATAGTGTTGCGTGCAATTTCATTCCTTGTTCATCCAGAGAAATGAAAAACATTTGGTTTCTCTAAATTTAATGGTCCAACAAAACAATACCCGCCACCTTAAGGGGAACAATAACTATGACTGAAACCCACATTAAATCATAGCAGAAACAGAGAAAAAGAAAGGAACTTGAAATGTTGTTGCCAATCACAGTTTAGGTATCATGGCTTCTGATCCACCTGGACTGAAGAAGCTATGGACATTAACAAATGCTCGAAGCTGAAAATTTGAAGATTTGCTTTGAATGGTACAAGAATCTATAGGTTCGTTTGGAATCGAAAGTCAATTACCCAGGAATGAAGAACGTTATTATTTTTTTTTTTATTGATAAAGCATGTTATTTTTGTGCACAGGAGATCCAAATAATATGCCCTGCATATTCTCTCAATACACACTTTAGCCAGCATTTGTAATCTCTCTCTCTCTCTCTCTCATTTGGCATTGGTATACAGAAGTCCCACGAAGGGTGAGAATATGCGAATTAAAGGAGAGCTTTGAAGTTCTGTATAACATCATTCAACACCAATACAGTTTACAGAAAGAGAGACTCATTAAGCAACTAAGCCCAGCTCCAACTTTTGATGTTACCAAGGTGAGATTTCTGTAATTTTCTTATCTCAACAATAGGAAAACCAACTTCTCTTCTAAAAGAAATTCATTTTGTTTGGACGAAAAGGCTTTTTTTCTAGGCAGACTGTCCTTGGACTCTCCACTTTAGTTTCAACATTCAGTAACTGAGAATAACAATTAACAAAGTACAATTTGCTTTTTTTTTTTTTGGTTATTTGCTAGTTACTTGGTCTTTAGGGTATGAAACAATTGACTTTGGTTTTCTGCATACACATCACAGATCTGTGGGCAGGCTATTACAGGGAGGGTGAGCCCAGGACTTTAAAATCTAGTGTTGTAGACCATTGCTTACCGATCCATTGTGCATTCTTGATCCTACTTGATAACATTAATTGGCACCTCCCATAAAGAACTAAAAAATTATCCCAATCTATTGTTGTTAGCTTTCTCTGAATCTGAAGTGAAGGAGATGGGAATAGTGGCTGTTTGGAGAAGTCATCGACATTGAAATCCTCCCATATGCAAAAGGTTACTCCAACTATTCAACTATCAGAATCTGTTTTATATAACTGTGAAAGTAAGCAAATCTTCTGTAAACTTTGTCGTGTTTAGATTCGAATAGCTGTTCACAGGAGGATTGTTTCTGAAGCCAGGGGAGACGAATAGGCGTGTCATGAAAACCAATTTAGTATTTTTCGCGATTGAATGGTTAGGATCTGTATGTGTTACCACTAATACAGAAAACCAATTTCAAAGGATCTTATCAATTCATTATTCAAAGACTGGCTATTTTCTAGTCCAAAGGATGGTACCATACTACCACTGCACTCAACAGGTGGGTTGTCAAATAAAAACAGACTGGTTAAGTTCCAATTAATATGAATCTATATACAACTAAACTAGGCAGGGCAGGGCCCTAGAATCTGTGATCGAAGATCAGCAAAGTGAAATCGACTATTTTTGTAGTCTTGAAATAAAGACAATACTGAAGATGTTCCTTTTGCATGAAAAATTCAAGGCAATCAGACACAGATATGGTTTGGAAGACCGAGACTCTTCCTACTCGAACCAGAAACGTTGATTGACCGTTCCCATCGTGACCCAGTTCCTTTGTTTGCTTGGGTACGTGTTGCCTATTCAAAATACAAGGTGAAAGAGAGACGAGTATGACGTTCATAACTTCTAGACAAGGGGATTCATATAGGCCAATATGTCTATTCTGATTATGACATGACAATAGCGATTGAAGCTCCTGTTGGTGTGGCTGGTCAAGTTCAAAAGAAGAGTTACTCTTTTCGGAAAGAGTCACTATGACCAAGACATCAAATACTGAGTTTCGTTGCTGATGCGATTTCGGTTTAGGTTGTTCCTGCACTAGCTGCGGAAAAAAAAAAACAACTCGCAAGTAAACCTTAAAAGAAGAACAATTACTTGCTAATTGTTGCTAATCGACAGCCCTCAGAAGAACTCTTATTGAAAGGTAAGGGTAAGCTACTCTATCTACAGACCTACTATAGAGTAGGCTACTCCACTTACTAGAAGACAAAGCGGAATATCTAGTATGTGGTATTCAAATAAAGGGGAGCAAGCTCCAAGAGAGCCTTAGAAGCTAATCTTTGCTAGGTGTTGCTTATCGACTTTAACTATTTTTGAAGTCTTGAAATGAAGACAATAATGAAGATGTTCTTTTCGCAGGTTATGCAGATAATATGAATTTGTCATCAACCATGTACATGTAAAATTGCCAAACTGAACTGATATTGTGTACCATGTAAGGTCGAAGATCACAAACTTCTCCTTTAATTTCACTGTAAATCGAGTATACACAATTTCATAACCAGGATGTAAGATATGTTTCACTGAAAACAATATTTGTACATGTACAAGTGAATAAATTTCAATGGAACCAAAGAATATAGTGATGGCAACAAATTTTGTATAACACACCGCTGTAACAACCCATTTTTCAAACATAATAAAGCCCTAGTGACTTAAATATGCTGTTTTTTTCCCTTCAAACAGATAATCAGAACCCTTTCCAGGTACCAAGAACTTCATGGAAGATTTCAGCTATCAGTTCTCTATCTGCACATTGCAGAAAGGTATTAAATTCATCTCGAATGTCAAATATCTTACCGAACTTCACTAGATACCGCATGCAGCTGGTTTTCAGATTCGGCAATTGGTATAGAGACGCGTTTTGGAGCCTCTCAAGCACATTTTTGGTATCAATGTCTTCTAGTAGACTCTCGTGACATGCCTCTTTCAAATCAGAGATATCATACTTATCAGCAGCTTGGAGAAGTGCCAGCCGGTGGGTAAGAAAGTCTTCGTTTTGTATGTTCCCATAAATGTAGTTGAGAAAAGCTTGGCAAGACTCGATTGACATGTCAGCAATGTTTATGGTAGACAGTTCTTTCTCTTTGAGGTCATGTGAAAACATGCTGCGGAAAACAGGTGACCGTGCAGCAAGAATTGCACGATGAGCTCCGATGCTTCCATTAGAAGCATTGATTACAATGTCTGTGTGAATGCCTTCTGATAACATTCGACTAAGCGATGCAAGGGCAGTTGCATTCGATTGTTTTTGTGTATACCCTTCAGCCCAGATGGAGCAAGGTTCCCCACCCTGTGTGTTACATTAGTAATAATTGTTAGAACAGACCAACAAAGTATAGTATCCACAATTAGTTTTTCTTTCTTTTTTGTATAATTTTTTGCAATGGGTATTATTCCAACCACGCACACTTTGAACTCGTTGTTGCAATGCAAATCTCACATGCACGCAGTTATCTCGTCCCACTACATTAGTTAAACCTAAGTTTTATGATGAGTTTTCTATTTCCATTTCAATCGAATCTACATCCAACTGAAAGCCTATGAAGAAATTCTAGCAGAATTCAAGTTCAGTGATCTTCTAGGTTAAATCATCCTTTTAGAACAAATGATCAGGGCAATATGAAAGAAGATGCATTGAAAAAAAGGTTGATAGAGACACCTACTTCTGGAGATGCAGTCTTCAGATCAAGAAATTCAAGGTCGATGATGAATTTCCCAGTCAATGGAACCTCAATTGCCCAAACAAAATCGTCGTTATTCTTGATCTGCTTATCTTTGATTTCTGCGAAGGCATGCAAGTTAAAAAAAGTGGACTACTTAAAAGAAAACTACTAAGAAAATGATGAATGATTGACATAAATCAATGTAATGAGAACATAAAAAGAGCTAAAAAAGCTTGTACAGACAATTATTCTTATCCATCTGAACTTTACTAGGAATGCTTTTCTTTGCCTGAATTTCAGGTTAGTGAATTTCTGCAAATGGGGAAAGACTACTTGTCTTGTACTGTGGCCGACACCATAGAAACCTAATTAGACATTTGCTAAGTGAATGAGTCTGAAAAGCGCTTCTCCAAGCTTGATCTAAGTCTTATACATTAATGAATTAAGCAGCAACGGGGATCCTTCTTGACAGCAATGGGGGATCCTTCTTGACTTTTTTTCTCTAAGAAAAAAAATAGAACCCTCAACCACTAGAAACCTTAAGCTTCACAATACCATGTTTAAGGTCCCTTTGTGAGACATAAAATCAATAGTACTACAACTCTCTCTCTCTCTCTCTCTCTCTCTCTCTCACACACACACACACACACACACAGCATACAGACAATCTCCAAATCTCTGCTAACATATCCAATCTTAGTCCTTATAAAAAGTAATTGAAAAAAAAAATCACTTGAGTAGTGTAGTAAATGTACCTGGATGAACCAAAGCCTGGCGGTTTCCGACGAAAGAGATGACTCGAATGATAAAAGATGCAATAGGAGGGTTGTCTCTCGTTGAATTTGATATTTCCGGGTACAGTTTAATGAAAAGGGTTCGATTCTTCTCCAAAGATAAATGCCTTAATCATTTCAGATAACAGAAGTTTTAGTATCCACTCCACCACCTCATAAAAACAGAGCACAAAACAGGGTTGCATACCAATTCCCAATCAAACATTGATAACGAAAACAAAAATGAAAATTCCACTAAACTGGACACCTCTGGGTTTAATTTCTAAGAGTTTCTCTGTTTATGACAAATTCAAATTAACAGTTAAACCCAAGATTCATTAATTTTTAATCTTTCTTTTCCAGTTTTCTCAAATCTATACAACCCAAAAGGGGTTGAAATTCAGTCACCACATGACTCTGAATTTTGGGTCAATCATTTTTTTTTCTTGAAAAGGTAAATATAAACAAAGAATTTCATTATCTTTCGTGGTCCTCTGTTTTCTCAGCAACCAAACAGAGAACTGAAAAGTAGAATTTCATAAGACAGACTCGGTAATTGCTTACCAGTTCCATTTGCCGACCGTGAAAGGATCGGATTTGCGGTAGGTACAAGCTGCCAAGTTATCGATCCGCCATTGGGCGAGTCGTGAGGTGGTTTCAACGCGATAAGCAGAGTCGTTCATCCTAGAAGAAAACACAAGTGCCGCAGTGATTTCATGGATACAATCGAAGAGTCCTTCCAACAACAGCTCTCCGTGCTTTCCCAGGTTTGCTGATATTCTCTCTCTTCTTCATACACACCCAATTCATATATCTCAATCCAAACTCTCACTCTCTCTGTACTCAACTACCACTTTTTGAGAGAGAGAGATTCCCCGAAGACCTGGTGCAAACAGAAAGATTTCAATTCTTTGTTTTATGGGTTGGCCCAATTCTCCTGAAGGTTTCGGGCACGCTAGGATATTGCCTTACGCCATTGATGGGGAAGTTTGCAGGAGAGTTTTGGTGTTAGATTTCAGAGAGAGAGAGAGAGAGAGAAAGAAAGAGGAGGGGAGGAGTTTATTGGCTGAGTTGTTGGCTTACACTTCACTTCTTCAGGAGGGTGATGCTAATTTATTGCAGAAGTTTTGCACGCACAGTAGGCATTTCATTCAATGTTTATTTGTTGGATTGGATGTCTCCATGTGTACGCATATTTGTATGCTTCACAAGGAACAGATGTTTTTTCTTTCTTTTGTGCTACTTTGAAGCAAAGTATCTCTGCTTCTTCTTAAAATGGTTTCATTCTTAGGAGTTGTGACGTGTCTACTTTACTGTTGAAGTCCAGTTACTAAAGAGAGAATGTCTTTTATGACTATAGCCGTACCATAATACTATATCATCATCATCATTGATATGTTTTTATCATAAATTACTTATAAATTATTATAACCCCAGTCCTCCACCACCACCCAAGCTCAAACGCCTCCCCATCATCCATAGACGGACTTAAGAGGCGCAACTTTAGTTGAAGGGACAACAAATGACCTACAATCTCACATGATCATCATACACGTCATCAAATTCATGGCTTCCAATGTCCTAGATCTCATGGTTTAGATCTTAGAAGCCGTACAACTACTGTTTTTTTGGTTGGCCACTCACTTACCCATAAACACAACAATTATGTTGATATAATATAAAACCTTTTCTATAGAAAGATATAAATACAATATAGGGCCAAAAAGATATCCATTCTGTGGGACATCCCAACTAGAATCCTTCTTAAGCATTCCAATATTGCAAGCAACCAATATCCTCTTTTTCATATAAAAAGAGTAATGTTATATTAATCAAATTTTAGAATTAAATTTGGAGTTCAAATGATATGATAGTTGACTTAACTTCTTTATTTAGTGTCATATCATTTGGACCCCAATAAAAATTTCAAATAATATGTTACCAAATTATTTAGCTCCAAATTTAATCATAAAATTTGATGGTATTAAAGGGTATCACCATAGACTTACGTGGCAATAATGGTATTATTAAGTTATCAATAGGACTACTCAGCTGACATCAGCAGGTTGTTCTAATAGAATCTAAAAATAATAAATTGTATAAATTTTTATTCTAAATTAAAAAGATTGATTTTAAATTATAATGGCACTATTATTTATGATTAACATGACATACACAGATGAATTGTAAATTCAGACGTTTTAAATTTGAATTTTGGTAATTTCTTGAGGCTAGACAATAAGAGATTTATTCCTCATAAATACCTTAGTCCCGGTATAAATAACATGTTTTTAATCGGACCGAATAAGAGATCAGTCGACACCACTGACCATTGAACTAAAAAAAAAAGATTAAAACATAGCCGATAAAGACGAATTTTGATAAAAATAAATCGATAAAAATCCCGCACCCAATAGAAAAGGGTGTTAACTAAGACCACTCGGGTGGCCTATGAGCCAATTTCATGCTACAATAAGAGTGTGTTTCAGTCCCCCTCCTCGATGCACAAAAATATCAAACTTAGAAAAGTGTCTCTCTCATTAAAGAATAATTTTGTATACGAAACTCTTATTATTTCAGCAAAAGAAAGATATACAAAATAATATTTAATTTTCACATAATCAATGTCTAGATCTGGTTTAGGAAAATTAAAAGACTAGATTTTGATAGTGGTGGGGGCAAGCATAATGTTTTTTTTTTTATGTCTAAATCAAGGTCAAGGAAATGAGAGGTTGTTCAACAACTCGTTTAGATACTTTTTAACCTTCTCATCTTTGTTTTATTCGTTCCGTGGCCTAAAGTCCCATTTTCAAGCCATAGGTTTTCAAGCATTATAATTAAACATGTAGCTTAATCATAGACACAATAGACATATAGTGTTTGATCATAGGACTTTCATTATGGATCATTTCAGTAGAGATGCATGAATAATTAAAATAAAAATAAAATTTATACCTAGTATTTTGGTTTTTTGATATTTGCTTTGTAGTCGCAAATCTGAAAAAATATGTGGCAAAGACGATTCTTTTTTCTTTTTTGATTTTGTTATAAGGGATTCAGATTTACGCCGACTATTCTCTAAAGTTTAGCGCCTGTTGCCACCGTAACTTGAGCTGAGTTAGAGCATGTCCTTCAGGAACAAATGTGACTAACCCTTAAAGAGATATGAGAAGGGATTACACTTGAAACTTTTAGATTACAAAAATTAGGTTTAACCACTACATTGTCAATTAGGTTAAAGGCAATTCTTTATTATCACAACAAAAAAAAAAAAAGAAGTACAAATTTTGTTTCATGGACAATACGCAATTAGCTCAAATCTGGATGTACTAGATATGCTATTACTACCCCTCTCTTGACTCCAATTAGAGTCAAGTGAGTGTTCTATTAGGATGAGATGATATACGTTGATTGAAACTCGTATTGAAGTAGATTTGAATTAGACAAAAATTTGCATTCTAGTTGTTCGCAATTCATTGTATTGATCATGTTTAAATACAATCAAAGGACAACAATTGACAGAGACAATTGATTAAGGAAAACTCAGATTTTAAAAGGACAAATGGCTCATTGTGATCTACAAACTTGATTCCCTTTGACACACGGCAATTACCCAACTTAATCTCAATGCAAACAAATCTTTCTTCCTATTTTTGGGACTTGATTATAGTACCGACAAAAAATTTTTGGTATCGTACCTCTAAATTTTATTATTTTAATGTATAATTTTATAATTTTTGTGAGTCATTTTACAATCAAAAAATTTAGTATTTTTATGGGTAATTTACTATTTTTGTGAATATTTTTATTATTATTGTATTTTTACCACTGTTATAGTAACTATTTTTACAATTTTTTTAGATATCACAACAAGGATAAAAACAATCATAAATGTGATAAATAGAGATATGGTACCGAAATTTTATTTTTCAGTACCATAAAAAGGTCCTTTATTTTGTTGACATCCTAATCAAAGACTTTGACTCTTGCAAATGGGATTAAACTGAAGTGGGGAACAAGAAGAAGAAGAAGATGGTTTTTTAGGATCGCATGATAGTTTGTCACACTTCGACTCTTGCAAGAAAATGGGCATTTTTAAGAAATTGCGTTCGGAGTGGTTTTATCTCCATACAATTTAGTCAAAAGGAGCTTCAGTTGGGTGCAAAATGTAGAAAAAAAAAAGAAAGTGGCTCAATTGGTGGGCTTTGTGGCCAATAAAGGATAGAATTTCATTTAGTTTTTCCAACCAAAACGTTTCGATTTCTATGGATATTGAAATTCATTGGTGATTGGATATTGAAATTCTTATATTTTGAGTTGTTTTCAATCGATGTTTTAAAAATAAGTTTTCAATTTTTTTTTCTTGACTTTCATTCTATTTCCAAAATATTTTGATATTTTTCGGAATATTTTTAATTTTGAATTGACTAAAATTATTCACCAAAATAAGATTTTGAAGAAATTATTCGATAAAACGGTCACACTACAACATTACATGATGATATCTCGCGATAAAGATGATATTGTGTTACCGTTACATTGAATATTGATGGGACTCTTCTGAAAAGCCCTAAGATGAAGACACGTGTCCTCGGGGGTATTTGGAACAGTGTTGCCCGGGATGTAAGCACCATCGGCGAAGAGCGTCCTTTACCCCGAGGTACCTCTCATATAGGATCACACATTCGGTATATTATACAACAAACACGTGTCCTCGGTCACACGTGTACCTCGGAAACATACCACCCTCGGTCCCCGAGGTAAGCCTTTCCTCGGTGCCGAGGGTCACTCCATGATGGACGCTTCCTCTACTTCCGGATAAAGCTACTGACGTACTGGACATCAGCCTATGCCAGTCTGGACTATTCATCATGACCTCGTCTTACACAAGTAATGTCAGAACGTTCTGGAATACCGACGTCACAGCCAATAAGGGACGGACGCGTGGCAAATAATGTCACATCAGAAGCAGACAAACCGCATGCCATTGCTGGCACGTGACTTGGGAAAGCAAACAAATTAATTGCACCCTTCTGTTGACGAGACCGCATTCAATGCGGTAAGGTTCGGATATGAAAGGCAATAAATGCTCCTGTTACAGAGCATTTATTGCATCCTTCCCGAAAGGAGCATATTGTACCGTCGGCATCCCGACAACTCACCATTGATTGCTCGGGACCCCGAGCAGTCAATTAGATGAGACATTCCTCATCAAATGATTACACACGCTACCTGTGCCTGATGATCACCTACTGACCACACTGACAGCAATCATGATCTTCTGAGGTATAAATACCCCTCCCAAAAGACAAAGCCGGTATGCAATCACAAACTCTCTACTAAAAAATATCTTTCTCAGTGTTTTCTCCTTCCTCTCTCTCTCTCTCATTCAAAGACTGACTAGATCGTCGGAGGGGATACGCCGGAAAACACTCCGGCGCCCTTCTAACTTGTTCTCTTTTGTCCCAGGAAATACCTTTCGCACGTACAGGATCGTTCCTCCTTTCCCAGGATCTTCCTTTACCGTTCCCGATTGCCACCGTTCCTGGTAGGCTGTTTCGAGCAGAGTGTTTGGCCATTCAACCGGCTCACCCAGAGTTCACCAGGGGAGAGATCTGTTCCCAATATTATATATATATCGTGCAGGATCGAGCCCGCACAATCTGGCGCCGTCTGTGGGAAA